GAGAGAAGGACAAGGTCACCACCAGGACGCTCAAGGCCCGCATGGATTAGCCCGGCCCGGCTCTGGACCCGCTCGGGATTTTTGTACAATAAAATCAAATCAAAATAAAATTAAAAAGTACAGAAATGCCCTGGAGTCCCTTTGGGTGCCTCTGAGCAGGGCCAGCGGCCCACCCTGGCTGCCAGGACCCTGGGGTGTCACACAGGGGACACACAGGGCACCCTGGGGTGTCACTTGGCTGCCAGCACCCTGGGGTGACACACAGGGGGACCCAGAGGGGACCCAGGGGTGCCACCCTGGCTGCCAGCACCCTGGGGTGACACACAGGGGACCCAGGGGTGCCACCGTGGGTGCTAGGGGACACAGAGGGGACCCTGGGGTGACACACAGGGGACACACAGGGGACCCTGGGGTGCCACCGTGGGTGCTAGGGGACACAGAGGGGACCCAGGGGTGCCACCCTGGCTGCCAGGACCCTGGGGTGTCACAGAGGGGACCCACAGGGGACCCAGGGGTGTCACTTGGCTGCCAGCACCCTGGGGTGACACACAGGGGGACCCACAGGGGACCCTGGGGTGCCACCCTGGCTGCCAGGACCCTGGGGTGTCACACAGGGGACCCAGGGGTGCCACCGTGGGTGCTAGGGGACACAGAGGGGACCCTGGGGTGCCACCCTGGCTGCCAGCACCCAGAGGTGACCCCTGAAATGTCACCTGGGTGCCAGGACACACAGGGGACCCTGAGGTGCCACAGAGGGGACCCTGGGGTGTCACCTAGGTGCCAGGACCCAGGGGTGTCACAGAGGGGACACAGAGGTGCCACCGTGGCTGCCAGGACACAGAGGAGACCCCTGAAATGTCACCCCTGGGTGCCAGGGGACACAGTGACACCCTGGGGTGCCACCCTGGCTGCCAGGAGACACAGGGGTGCCACCCTGGGGTGTCACAGAAGGGACCCTGGGGTGCCACCCTGGCTGCCAGGACATGGCAGAGACACAGGGGTGCCACCCTGGGTGCCAGGACACACAGGGGGGACCCTGGGGTGTCACCCTGGGTGCCAGGAGACACAAGGGACCCTGAGGTGTCACAGAGGGGACCCAGGGGTGTCACCCTGGGGTGCCACCCTGGGTGCCAGGACATAGAGGTGACCCCTGAAATGTCACCCCTGGGTGCCAGGGGACACAGTGACACCCTGGGGTGTCACCTGGGTGCTAGGGGACCCAGGGGTGTCACAGAGGGGACACAATTCCCTCCCTAAGGCAGATTTTTTTAAGTGACAGCTGAAAATCCAACACATCGTTCTACAAATTAAAACAGAAATAATTAATTTTTTAATTTCATTCCAACAATCTCCGTTCCA